GGGTGCCTACAGTTCAGCTAGTCCCAGACCACCCATTTTTTTTCTTCACCATGTAAAAACAGATTTTAAACACAGATAGTCTTCTAGACCTCTGCTGTACCAGTTACGAATAAGCAGACTGGTGAAGAATTATTTCTCTTGCTAACTTAGTAGCATCAGGCTACGGCAAGTAGAGCAGGGTGCAAGGCAGTGCTTGCTTTTCCTGAAAGCTTTTCAAAACTGGAAGATGCAACATCGTTTGGTTTAAAAAACAAAACCAAAACTCACATAGGCACCTTTTGCTTTTCACAGTAGGCTTTCTCCTCTGTCCTCCCCCTGCTCACTGTCATTCCTCTTGAGTGGAGCCAACTCTCTGCATACCGATATTTTATCTCTGAAGGCTGCGCTGGGAATTTAAATTTTCCCAGAGGGAGGGGATCTGAGAGCAGCTGTGTTAGAAGACACTGAGTAATAGGACAGTGATGTGCTTCACATACAATGTATAAAGCTTGGCCCCTCTCCTCAGTAAAACAAGATGTGGGCTGGGGAAGAATTACATAAATCCAAGGAAAACGACAAACTGCAAAATCACGTTCTAGCAGTTAAAAATAAGAGAGATTACACATATTGTTCTCCTGTTACACTCTTCAAAAGGACTATCATGGATGCGTACATCCCAGAAGCTACGAGTCCTGAATAATAACCATATAGAATATCGTTCTTTAGGAAATTGCTTACAGATTAGAAACATTTGCACTCCCGATTCCTTATCTGTTGTTACTAAGAGTTCATGTAAGCTCTCTTTATCTCTTCAGTCTATTTCTGTATGGATTTCCAGAAGCCATTTGCTAAATCTACATTAATCCTTAAAAATTCAAGCAGATTTTTTAAAAACAGACTGGTGATAGAAGTGTTTTATACATACTCAGACCGAAGAGAATAATTATGACAGCAGTTTCCCAGGATTACATTGCCTCAGTGAATGGTAAGCCCATAGGGTATTTCAGGCTCTACCTCCTACCTCCGATGCCCTTGCCCTTTAAGTAACACAGAGACAGTTCTATTAGAAAAGAAGGCAGATTGAACTCAAAATGGTTACCACACTGCCACTGACAATGACTTTGTGGCAAGTATCTTATCTTTGTATTAGTTTGGTATGAAACTAAATCAGTGGCATAATTATTCTGTATTTTATCATCAGAGTAATAAGACACAGTAAGCAGAGATGAACCACAATTAAGACGGGTCTCGAATGTTACTTGAGAGTTGCTTTTGGTAAGAAGTCTCAATTGTGCAAGTTTGTTCCCATATAGATTTCTTCTATAACCAGAAAAACCATAATTTACCCCTGAAAAAGAGCAGGTTTTGAGACAGACCATGCACTCCCACACATCAGCAGAAGGCATTTTCATTTTTCTTTAAGAACAAGTATCAAACAAAATCCTGTTTATCACTTAAAGATCTGTCTAGTTAGTTAGAGAGCTTGTATTACTTGTAAAGTGAGTTGAGAGACTGGTGTTTGGATTTGCATTCATCCCTCCTGGACTAGGTAAATAATTGCTGCTAATCCCCGTGAGGTAAATAAAGTTCAGGTCAAGGACCAAGTTTCCCATAACCAGAAAGGCTGAATTCATTACTTGCCTCCCAGTAATCCCAGATTCCCCTGGAATCCATGGAGTCGAAAAACAAGGATACCTGTTTGCCTCTGCATGTATAAAAATACGCGTGTATGCACATGTGAACATACCACACACACTTATACATAGGTATACATAAACACACACAAAAAAGCACTCAGTCTTTTCTTACATTTCACATCCCATTGTTAAATAACCTCCGATTCTGGATAGCTTCTTCAAGTCAAGGTTCTTAGTGAGGAGAACTAAGCTTTCCCTCTCTTCCCGCCATCCTGTCAGGGACATTCCTAAATTAGAGTGGATGAATCCATGCCAACTTAGCTGACAGCATCTTTTGACAAAAACACAGGTTCTAGTAAAATAACTCTCCCTTCTCTTAAATCACAGACTCGGAAAACAAACACCATGTGTGCAGGATATTTGCTCATGCATCACAAGAGTGAATTCTGAATTTGCCACAAAGCAGTGCACAGGCAGATACACGCTCGTCCTACCACTTGAGTCTTCTGAGACATGCTCTTCTCCAGTCACAAAAAGCAGAAGACAGGCAATGAGTCCATTGCACTACTTTTATCTAACACTTCCTACAGCATCAGCTCATGGGGTTTCAACAGCAAGCTTCTTAGACCTATTCCATTACTGAAAAACTGCATTTTAGGATTTTGGAAGGAAAAGCACTTAAGAGGAAGGATCAGCTATACTAGATCGGCCCCAAAATCCACCTTGCCCAGCATCCTGTCTCTAACACTGGATGCCAAATTAAGAGCAAGGCAGCCATAAAGCACAGTATTTTCTAAGCAGCAGCTACTTCTAGCTGGGGAACACTTGGAGACAGAACCAACACCTTTGTACTGGGTGGTGGGGCAGGTGTTTGTCCAGTTGCTTTTTAATCCACGCAGACCCACTACAACTGGGCATTATGGATGTCACACAGTTGCAGCTTCACCATCTATTATTGCATGAAGAGCACTACTACTGCCTAGTCTGAACTACAACTTGCTGACTGCATTTGACGCCCATTGATGAATGGAGAACAACCATGCCTTGTCTCTCCTGGCCACAAGCACTTTCTGCACCATTCAGGGACCTGGAGATCCCCACGATGGCTCTCCTCAGCTGGCTGTTATCCAGCCTGTAACCTACACTGTGGATTCTTGTGCAGAAATTACTGCACAACTTTGGTTATTCTCCTTGTTCTCCTGTGTGTGCCGTTCCCAACACTCCAAAACTCCACTGGTGACCTCCCCACAGTACAACAACAAACCCGGTTTATTTCTAAGCTGCTTTGTAACTTTTACCTTATCATTCACCCCTGTGATGACACCATCTTACCATGCGGCTGCATGATTTCTCTACAAGCCATGTGTGTGTAGCCTTTTGCAATTCCAGGTGTGCATGCATTCATCAGTCTTCCTCATCCTCATCACTTGACTCTTTCAGAAGGAAACTCCAAGAGACTTCAGAAGCAAGATTTTCCAGAAGCCGCTTTGACTCTTCCCCAGACTACCACACTCACCCCCCACGTCCAACAGCAGTTCTGGTTTTGTAAAATACTTTCCATCACTTTTCCTGGCACAGATGCTAGATTCAACGGACAACTGCTCCTACATGTCTTCTAGACTCAAAAACACCACCACAACAGGAAGGGTGGATTGTGTGGTGCCAGCTACATTTGTCTGGTACCACAGTAATTTGAAGCAGAAAGGTTGCACACCATGCTTGGCAGAAGCAACATTTCATCCACCAAGTTTCCTGTCACCAGCTCTCGTCATCCAGCCATCCGGCCAGCCTGTGCTGTAAACTCTGCAGCCAGTACTTCCAGTCACTTTTAATAATTCTGGATAAAGGAAAATTTACTTATGAAAAGGAAGCATAAAAATGTATTTCCCTTGTAAAAAAGACTGTACAGTAAATTAAGCAAATAGCTCTGTTTGCCCTTTTTTTGTCTTTTTTTTTTTTTTTTTTTAAATTCATGCATGTGCTTTCACTTCTTGCAGGACAGAACTGGAATGCAAAAAGATGCCAAAACAGAATGATGGGTTTCACAAAAATGTAAACTGGGTTACCTTCCCAGAGGATGGTAAATTTAAACAATTTCCACAGCTCTCAGTACCAACGCCCAGTATTAGGAGCCAGAAGTGACAAGACTGATTACTCACTTAAATGCTGTCTGACTATTCTGGGGTATCTTTTTAATAAATGCATACATAAAAAAAATAAATAGACAAACTATACCTCACCTTTTTTAAAGCATACACAAAGACCAAATCCAAAGACAAAAGAGAAATTATCAAAGAAACATGTCTGTCTCAAAAGAGGTAAAACGAATTGGTTTATTATTTAAGATCTTCGATAAAAATGATTTCAAAATAAATTAAAAATATGTCACTGACGTGCATATTAATGAAACAATTCCATCTTCCATTTTTATTCAATTTTTCTTCCTCCAAGTCCTCCAAGGATCATTCTGGTGATATTCTGTTCATGCACCACAAGTTTTAAGCAGTGAACCATCACCTAGTGGTGAACCCTTTACCTGAAGAGTACCTATTACCATCATCTGTGTCTGTTCAGTCTGCTGAAAATAATAGTCCTGTAAAGCTGATCTATAAACTTTAGTCAAGAGACTCTACAAGAGAAGCAATAAATCTAGAATAAATACTCTCAGCTATATACTTCTGCCAACAGCAAGAAAAGTGCTATTAATGGCTAAGAGCCTAATGTGAGGCAATATAAGCAACATGAGGAAAATACAAAACAGAACAGTTTGCATAGTATGCAGTAGTTGTACACACTGCTATTTAAGTAGGCACGTTCACATTCTTCACAAAGCACTCCCACTCCTCTGGCAATGCTGCACTGTCAGGAGCACTGCCATTAAAGGCTAGTCTAACCTTCTGATGTCTCCCAGTGCTGTTGGGTTTCAGAGGCAGAAGGCCACAGTCCCACAAAATTTGTAATGCATTTAGAAATAAATGTCAACCATTTATGCCTACAAAGGTATACAAATATATTTGGGAACACAAATATATCTGTTGGTGCAGCTTCTTCTTTTCCTTAAGTTTTAAAATATCAGCATACAGGAAAGAAAGACAGAGGCCAACCCAAGGTTGGTAAAAATGATTTATAGAGGGGGTAGAGGTTTTATTCAGAAGTGCTATTACTTGTAGCTTCTAATATTTCACATACTATACAATGAATGCTATAATGTGCATCCAATGTCCATTTTCTAATTATTATACAATGATACACAAATTAAATGTTTTGCCACACCAACACTAATGGTAAGATCATCAGCTGGAACATGTGAGCAATGTTACTCTGTTGCAGAGAGTGTCTTGGTAAACCAGTTTCACAGAAAACTGTGGCTAGAAAAGGCCCTACCTTCTCTTCCTGATGTACCCTGTTGACATTTTCCATCTGAAAGCTGTGCAAGGACTGGATTTTGTCGATTTGCTGTCGCTGCTTCTCTAGCTCCCCTTGGAATTCATTCTTTTTGAGCTCCACAGCGCCCCTCTCTGCTGCCGCCCTGCGGACTTTGCCTTCCAGATCCATGACTCGACCCTAAGGAAGAGCAAATTAGCCACAGCAAATAGAAATGCTTCCCCCTTGTCAAACTCTTCTCCAATACATTCAAGAAATACCAAATTTCACAGAACTAACAATGCTAATGTCATCAACGTCTTGTGTCAGCCACACACACACCAGTTTTACAGCATATCCTGTAGAGACTATCAAAATTTCAGTTAAAGATAAAAGAAATGCAAAGCTGCCTCAGTATTGAGCTTAAAAAAAAAAACCAAACAACAAAACACTCACATAAAAAAACATAGAAAACATTGAAGTCTACAATCTTTCTGAAGTACAAGATCAAATAATTTTTTAAATTTAATCCAGACAATTTTGCCATCACAGCGCTTCCAAGTGTTGATCCTAAACTAACTGATCAGGAAAATGCATCTCTCAAATGACTAAGTTTTCCTCAAAGACCTGAGAAAAAGTAGAGGAAGGGCAACACTGCCTAACTTTTACATAAAAAAACTGACACGTGGCTGTTACACAAAGACACATTCATTTATAAGCAGAAAATCATCTTCATTCTTGATTGCTCCAAAAGCAGTGACAATCAGAGGAAAATTCAACACCATCACATACTGCACATACAAAGACAAAGACATAAGGTATGGAATCAAGCCTGATGCAACGACAGCTTTTTTTTTATTATTCTTTTTTTTTTAAACTAACAATTTAGTTTTGCTTCCAAACATTTTGGGTTAAAATCACTCTTTAGCAGCAAGGAAGAATACAAAGACACATGGGACACTGTGCATCTTCCAAGACTCCAAGAAAATAGACTACCTCTTCTTACAGCACAGTATGCTGCATATTACTGCCCACCTACTCTGCTTCTCTCCCACAGAAAGTGAGAGAACAGAAAGGAGGTGGGGATGGAGGAAAAACACTTGCAGTTTAGCAGGAAGAGCAAAGAAAAGCACTTATTCCATTTCAGTCATAATGGCTGCAAAGTCTTGCCAACAAACGAACAGGCTGACAGAGTGCTTCAGAAGCTCCATCCACACCTTCGGCTATGCTTTTATTTCCTTCAGAGAGCACGACTATGCTGAAGTGAAACGATTTTCAAGCTTGCTTTGGGAGAAATGTACAAGATGACACAGTAAATCAGTAACAGTAAAGAGGACCTTACATCTCTAGGTTAGTGAGATCAAGAATGAGCTGCCTCACGGTTATGCAGCAAAGCTTCAGCAGTACTGACACAGTTACAACCTGCTGGTAGCCACCATCCTGAAGCCACTGACTAAAGGGAAAACAAGGGATGACCAGAGTCCCAGAAAACAGGGCATCATACCCTCCACCAAGGTAAAGCTAAGACATACCCTTAATCACATGGCCAGACACATGCGTCCTGTTTGACTAGTGCCCACTCTGAGGTGAAACAGGAGCTCAATTCCTACCGCTGTCAACTCAGTACTAGAATTTAGCTCATTTATAAAGACGATACAAATTCAGTGGAAAAACTTCGGAGGAGCCCTCATCAGCCATGTTTAATCACCAAGTTGTTAGCTTGGTTTAAAAAAAAAAACAACCAACCAAACAACAAAAGAACCATCCTGCATACAGTCACAAACCAGAAACTTGCTCCAGAAAGGATTAAAACCCAAGCTCAACAGTCACAGAATATACAGTTACTATTAGAAAAATAGCAGGCAAGGTAATTATTCCATGTGAGTTGTGTGCCCTCTTTAGGAAAGGTTTCTAAGAAACACAAATTCAGATTTTTAGACACTCTTTTTGAACAAGCTAGATTTCCTTGTTCTTGGTGGGAAAGCATGCATATATCCTTATGGGTCATGTAAGAAGAAAAAAAGAAACTAGGGAGACAAGCAAATTGCAGACACCCATTTGAATGCCAGTCTCAATGTATGCTTAGGAAGACAAACAAAAGGATGGCATTTGCCACATCTGTAAACTGAAACAGCACAGGACAGCTGAACACTTTGTGAGAGCAGAAGTAAAAAGTACCATACACACAGGTCTTCAAGATTTGGGTCCTCTTCGCCTACAAATAGGCATTCTTCCCATTCTCCACATCTCCCACTACTGATAAGCAACAACTGTAATATTCGTGAAAGTTCCTACAACAAGCTGAAGGTCCTGGCCCACCACATGCAGGGGAAGCATCCTTCTTGTTGTGGACTGTTCATTAAACACAAAAGTACAAGACAAGATGCAGAGCAATAGGAAAGTTACCTGCAGATCCGCGCTGCGAGAACTTGCAATCCAGTAATTGAAACCCAAAACAATGATGCACGCCACGAGCACAGCCACGAGGAGAGGTGGAGACTTCATCCCTCGGCAGCTATTTCCTAGCCCTACCATTTCAAGAAAAAAACAAACCCAAAGAAGCACACAGGGTGCAAACCTGCAAATTAAAATAGATACATTAAATTGTATCCTCTGGTACAGTTATTTTATACACAGAATCAAACTTTTACTGCAATAACACAACAGCTCTCAGCTGAAAGGACTACACCCAGCAAGGAAAGCATACTGTCTAGATATTTCCATCTGAAGGATGAAGAAAGGCCATCTTGTACATAAAGCTTCACATGGACTTCAAGGGAAAGTCTTGAATATTCCTAAAAATATAATGAAAATCTGCAATAAACAGAACAAACCAGCCATCCTTTTATCACATATTCCACCCAAAATGCTAATTAGACAATACTGGTCTACAGACAGAGGATAGATTCCTTGTTATCTCATTTAGTCAGAAAATAAACTTAGTGTCACTGTTTCAGGAGTAATTTGCACTTTGCTTCCCCAGCTTGAGTAGTTTCAACTTATTCCCTCTGATAATACTATTTTAACTTTTCAGTTCCGATCTTGTAAATAAATAAATAATATTGAATCAAATCACTTTAAGGATAACCTAAAAAATAAAGATAAAAAAAGACTAGCAAATACTGATCATTTCAATGGTAAATTGTATTAAGTGATGTTTGTTTTGATCCTCAGCTGCTTTCTCTGCTCCTAACTGAAAATTGCATTAAACCTTGCTTTAATGAATAAGCAGCACCAAGGGTACTACTGGTTGCTATTGAGATTTGGGTTGTTTCTGGGGAACATCCCATTTAAACAGAAAAGTGGAGACAAAGGGCAGCTGCAATTCAGTTTGAAATAGGCCATATTCATCCCATGAGATGATAAAATCTGGTCTTAATAAGTGTACTAGCACCTAGCTCAATGAATCCTCAAACTCCACTGGGAATCTCGGGCACAGTTTGTAATAGATCGCTCTTTTGTAAACTGAGATCAACTTTTTCTCTTTTTGCTCTCCTGCAGACAAAAGTCAGCAAAAATGAGCACAGAAGATCAAGCAGACAGCAAACACGGATGCATTGCAAGACACTAACTAAATCTAAAATGGGTACATTTACTACTAATATAGTGTACAGTCTCTCAAGATGCATGCTCCTAAATAAACCATCTTCTTCCCTATGGATGCAATTCACAGGTTGTGATGTATTTAAAAATTAATAAAGGTGGCAACTCTCAAAGGGTTTACATGTGAACATATGCTGTAATCACAGGGGAAGAAGGTTATGTTAGCAGGTACCAGAAATGCTGATTCTACTGTACGCTCAGCACTTACGTCCTTCAACAGCTCACCTTTACCTAAGTGTGCACCTCTGCAAAATCTTCTCTTTGCATTCAATTTAAGATATAACCTATCTTCTTTTTTTCTCAGCTTGGAGTGCACAATACTGCCAGACTGGTGAAGGTTTCAAATCTATTTGTTCATTCGAGAAGTTTGTTAACTTGTTTACCTTTGGGGACAGGGTATATATATGGAGCCTAAGAGTAAAACGTGGCTTCCTGAAAATACTGCCTCTTTGTATACATACATGCATACACACAAAAAATAATCAAACCCAAAACAAACCAAAAAAAGCGTGCATAGCAGCACAGGTCCAACACTGAAGGCCCGAGTTTCTTGCCTACAGGAACCTCAGCTACAGAGCAAACTGACACATGCAGCACAGCTTCAGCAGACACCCACGAGGTCGTGTGCAGCTGAGGTTAAGGTTAAAAGAAAAAGAAAAAGCATGGGGAAGAACCATGCATTTTTGTTGTAAAGCAAAAAAAAAAAAAAAAATCAAGATGCAGTAGACTAAAATACACAGAGAATATGCACAAATTTCCAATAGGAAGCTAAGAATTGCAAAAACACGTACATCTTGCACAGACCATTCTCCTTCTGTGCCATCCTTTAATCCAGGATTAAAGGGAGGGCGGGGGCAGGGGAC